GTTGTTTGATTGTATACAATTTGTATCGCATTGAAAACAGTCTGCAACCATTTGGAGTATATCGCTTAAGACATGTCGATCACAATAATGAATAAGATTTATGTGGAAGAGAAATGAAAAATGCCCGATCATTAGCGAGTAGGATAAAGATAAAGAAATATTGAATTAATTTGCTGGGTAGAAAGTTGTGGCTTTGCATTCGAAATGGTTGGTGTGCAATTTTCCATTGGATCAGACACATATTGGATGGACGAAGGCAATTTAAATTGGCATTCATCACGATTTGATAGAAATTCGATACAGCCCAGCAAATCATTTCATTTAGGCGCGCATTAAAATTGTGAAAGAGCACTCAAATCCTTGTCCGCTCCATATATTTCATTGCCGTCATGGGTCAAATTGCAATATATTACGAGACGAATACAAAAGAGCTCTACACATGGATAAAAATCAAAATGTGGAAAATGATTTTAATTTGAACAATTTTCATCGTGATATCATGAATGTGGCGTATAACCCATTTACATTCGAAAATAAAAACAAATTTGTGGTTGCAATCATATGTCCGGCAATTTGACTTGGTGATTTTGTGTTGTTCGGCCAATGACGAGCGACCAATTCAGAATGCTACAGTAATTTTCCGATTGCAGAAAACGTGATTCTTTTCTCATTCGATTGCAATCGTTGGCAGTAAGGCAAAAAAAAAATCGCGTCGATTTTGATTGAACCTTAAATATCAACATCGTTCATTTAATTTTCGATTTGTGGCACACCTATTTATTATATTTATTAAATGCGAACGCTACGTTGATTGGTCCAAAATGATCGATGATTATATGGATGCAAGCATCGATGTGCGAGCAGCGATCTGAGAAACACAAGACAGAGAGAAAGAGAGAGAGAGAGAGATATGCATTTGATTGCAGTGAAAAATTGCCAATCAATCGCTCGATGTCGATGCAATATGCCGGGGAAAACATAGACTCGCGACCTTTTAATATCTACCGTAAAGTAGGAAAACATGTCTTTAATTATGATATATTCGAGTCGAAGTCGTAACTGAAAATGCTGTGTATTGCTTTTTTATAAATGATATAAAAAAAACCTGATACGATTATTTCACATACGTTTGATACTGTTGACCAATGCTTGATATCGATACGATCACGTATTTGAATCGTGAATTGATTGCGTTCGAATGTGAAGAGAGAGAGAGAGATAAAAAAAACATTCCACGGCGATTATCCAAGTGAAGCAAATTACCCCAAGAACTATGAACGTACGCAGAAAACATGTAAGTCAGTTAAATTCAACGGCAATTAAAAACATTTAGTTACACATCGCAGAGGCAATAAGACGGTTGAACATAATATCTGACTGATATTTAATACGAGATCGGTGATGTGGAGTGTGAGCCGTGTATTTCAATGGGGATCTTTTTTCTTTCATTCGTAATACATAAAGGATCGTTTATTTGCCACCTGTTGTTTTTCACCATTCAAAATGCTGCTGAAAACTCAATGAAATAAAGTCACATCTTAGTACAGAAATAATCGGTTGCTAGTGCATGTATATGACTGCGGCATATTTTGACTTTGTGAATTGTTGATATTATCCGAATGAATTGATGACTAATGATGATGCATGCAACGAAATTCAAAAAAGAAATTCCATACCATTGTATGCCATGCATTCAATAGACCAACCATACGAACATTCTTCGTTCTTTCTTATTATTTTCAAACGCATACTGTCCAATCGAATGGTGTTGGGTGCTGGTTTTGTATGATGTATGCGATCGAGAGCAAAGATTCGATTTGACGATTTTTCAACCGATAATTAATAATATAATAACCGTTTTCATCACATTAAACCACCATCTATTGAGCGCGGCAATGCATTTCCCACAACTGCATTTGCATCGAAACGGGCAAAACGAGAGTCAGTCACACAATATGGCCCGAAGACGATGTGGCTGATACAGAACAGCAGTAAACGGCAAACCGAAAACCAATTAAGACCTCCTATTGAGGCATTAATGATGTCATATTATCTCTTTGATTCATTTATCAGAATATAAATTTATTATTTATGGCTGCTGTTGCGGTATGTCGGTGTGCCGTTTTACTACCGATCCGCACAAAGTGTTCGAAAATACATTTTTCATAATCAACACGCACCTAGACAAAACAACACCCGAGCATTGTTCATGCGTGCAATTGTTTTCGGTAGTGTTGTATCGAATAAGAACATAATCCAAACATACGGCATGTTTCTATTTGTTAATGCGCTCCCGTAAAACTATTCATTCCTTCGTCGAGAAATACACCGAAAATATTCCACTCGCCACTTTTTTATTTAAGAAAAAAGTGTTCAAACGGCAATTTGATTGACATTTGAAGGCTGAAAAAAAACGGCGCGTTTGTTCTGCTTTGTTCAATCACTCTATTCATTTATTGTCGAATCGATTCAAACAATTTTATTGAAAATAAATAGAATTATAATTCCATTGAATTCGTTTTTCTTCATCTTCTTTTGCTCGTTGTTCGTGGACTATTCGGTTCAATTTTCTTGTTTGTATTTTGAACGGTGTGCTCTTTGAACATTTGATAAGAAAATTCGATTCAATGGTCTGGAATCGAATGATCATTAGGCAGAAAAATGATCGTGATGATGTCCGTTCATCAATTTCTTCTTTTTATTCTGTATTTATCGGAATGAAAAGGAAGTGGTGAACGCAACGATTAAAAGCCTACTGATTTCTAATTCATTCGATGGCATTCGATGTTGATGCATTTTTATCCTATCCGACGACGGTGTGTTCACTGAACGATTCGTTTTGTTTTCTTTCAACATCAATACAAGCACCAGAAATATGTGGAAATTCCCATTGAAATGGTGAATAAAAATGCATCGACAAGAAAACCGCATGCCGGTTGCCAATGCACGTAGCAAATGCTTGCACCGCAGGTTTTAATTAAATTAAAAAAAAAAAGAAATAATTCACTTCAATGCGCACAAATTCCAACGTGTTTTTGTTTGAGTCGATACATTGTTGAAAATATTTTACAATAAAAAAGGGATCACATTGAGTGAGGGGTTGAAAAATGCTAAAATCAGCGACCACCCACACAAGGAAATCGTTTCGTTTTATTATGACCAAAAATGTAATTAAAGTCCAAGTAGACAAAAAGCAGCACTTTTGAATGAGGTGCCATTGACTAAGCAAATATTATTTTGACTGTCACCTTGCTGTGGCCAGGTGCACACGCTTCCAGCAAATTATTAATGTGTCAGTACAGTGTTGTTCAAATTGGTGAGGGATTGAAATGAAATGCCACTTCATGCAACATTAATTTTGATTACATTTCACCTCCACAACAGAGCAATGTTATTTAGCGAACGCACAACTCACGAATATGTATGTAATTGCAACCCTTTTACGAATTGTTTGTGGTCAAATAGAAAATATAATTGTCGCATCGAATAAAAGCCCATTGAAGAGTCCATTACGAGCTACATCATTTTACACATACGTAATCGTCGTTATCATGATTTAAACACATCGTAAATATGTCGCGACCGACTCAATTGATTCCAGTGCCGATCTATATATCGAATATGTCACAATGACTATGATTGATGACCAAAACATTACCTAATGGATTCAAAGTTGGACATTATACTCAAAAACATTGGTAAACCCATATAGGAACTAAATTCAAATAAAACATGCATGAACGAAAGTTTTAACGACAAAAAACCCAAATTATCAGAACTTTTTTCCTCTGTTGACGACATGATAACCATAATTATAACGAATCTGTCCCGTCAATATGCTTCATATATCAGTTCTTATTATTGTGAATTTCCCGATTGTTTTGAATAGTTTTTAATTTTATTTGTTTATCCGAAAAAAGGTCTAACAAAATACTCCTCGTTGCATTTTGTTACGATTGTTTTTTTTATATTAGTTGAACGCATCATCGTTTTCAGTGTTCTTTATCGGCTGTTTTTGGGATTATTCTTTACCCATTTTCCTAACTCATTGCCTTTCTTTTGATCCTAATTGAATTAAATCACACAATTTAGGCGAAGAAGGAAGACAATATTTGTACTGATAATGAAAAAAAATGATCAAAAGTCAAAATAAAACATCATTTCGGTTCATTACATTTATAAATTCAAATGCTGAATACGAAATTTATAAATCGCTGACTCTTTTTGTCAGTTGAAATGCCTTCAATCTTTCTATTCAATCGTATTTTCAGCGGTATGTTCTTCGGATCATATCAATTTATCACAAATGGCATCGAAAAAAGAGCAAAGATGCGTCCTTTTGTTAGCTGTCACTGTTGCATCAACGTTTTACATTTATAATGGTCTTTTTTGTTGTTGCTTAGTATTGTTGAGACCTTTTTTAGCTCGACGATTTTTCAAAGTTCACTTAATGCAGGAGAATTGATTATGGACATATGCGTGAATAATTGTTTGATGCTTGAAATATATAAGCGATGAAATATAGAATATGATATTTATAACGATTTCCAAATGAAAACAAAATCTCTTAAAGAGACCAAATGGAGAGAAGCTAAAGAGAAAGAAAATGAAGCTAAAGAACAAAATATAGTGATGCGACTTTTGTCGTATTTTAGCATATAACATTTAGCGAATGCAAATACATTTTAAATGCAAATATCTTTTGTACACGTACATCGGACTTTGTTCTTGATTAAAACGCATTCTCAAAAAATACACGTAGCAATAAGCCATAGTCACGACAACCTATCGATACCTAGTATACTGATACCTGTTCAAATTCAATCCAAGTAATAGCTTCTCACCAAAGCACAACGATAATGACAGCTGGTCGTCTAATTAAGTAACTCAAATTTGTCTTTGACATCATCGTACTTTGCTTCTCACCAAAAAAAATTTTGTTATCAATTTTTACGAAATATTGAGTAAAACTTTTTTCAATTTCAAATAAAATTAAACCATTTTTTAATTTAAATTAAAGCACATTGTGCGCCCTAGTTTTTATTTTTAAAAAAATCGTTCATTGTGTCATTCATTTGTTTCACATACATAATAATTGCATTTACTTTAATGTTTAGAATATTGTATGAACCGTTTTCTTTAAAATTTAACATTTTGATCGATTCAGTTGGATGGAATTTAATGATACATGTATGTTATAGGCATACACTGGGTTGCTGCAAAACACGTATCACTGGCGCCCTCACTGTATTGCATAGTGAAGTAACTCAATAGTACGTGTGTGAAATGTGAAGATTTTTTCTCGCACGAACTAGATGGCGCTAATAACTAAGTGTCTTTGCAGCAATGGTGTGTAGGCATATGTTGCGTTCAAAGCTCTTCATGTTCTTCAAGTACATAGTCATTTTCTGGTAACACGTCATCACAGTATTTGGCCGCTACTGTACACACTTCAATGTCAATGTCATCGGAAATTTTCTCTTGCATCAGCGACTTAAGTACATCATCTTCATTATCTTCTAAAACCTCCAAGCACTTTATCACACAGAAAACACGAACAATTAAACCAAATGCAAAAAAAAAAATCCAGTCATTTATTTATTGAACAGAGTTACTTACAAAATGTTTCAAGCTCTTGTTCAAATCACCATCTTGAATAAAATCAACCAAGCTCATGTTTGGATTCATGCCACCGTCTGGTGTAGTCATTTTTATTAAAGTCAGTGTACCATTCGTCTTGAATCGTGCCTTTGCGTAGTCGTCCATCTTATCACCTATTGGAAACGAATCAAATTAATAAGTTTTCTCCACATCATCATTCGATAATGGTCGAAATACTCACAAATATTTTCCATTAATTCAGTCAAATATGTCTCGGATTTTGAGAGTTTTACGACTTTTTTTAGGGCATTTCCCTTTGAATCCAAACGATAACCACCAATTTCGACCGTTTTCTTTGGATCAACTTTATTTACAGTCGACAGCATTTCGTCTAATGTTGCCTTGCAAACTGTAAACAAACAAAATCAATAGCAAAACAAGTTTATGGATCGAACACAGAATCAATTAACATTCAACAAAAATAATTTCGTACACATCAACTTACCTAAACATTTCACTGCTCTTGAATCGGTGATTTTGAGTGTTTCATCCAAAACAGGTGGATAATCCATTTGTGCGGAAATCAATGAACATTTTAACAAAATAAATGCTATGACCGATGAATAGGCAATAAATTTTCTCATTTTGATTATAGACGGTTCAACAGAAATTTAAAATTTTAACAAAGTAAACGTTGTCACCGAAAAAACGGCTATAATTCAAATGATTTAACCGGGCACAAAAACTGAAATAAATAAAATGCAATACTTGCACACTACTTTATTGTCGTCAATGCAAAATGTAATCAAGTGTAGAAATGTTTTGTTCAAATGGGTTTTTACTCAACTACATGAACAAATACACTCACTCACACATAATTGTGTTCATAGTTGGACAAATAAAAATTAAACACGTTTCACACTTTATATTATTTGCGATAATTTTGAGCACAGCTCTGGGTTTTCTTTATCTCTAACATTTGAAGCACACGTCATACATATTAAAATTGTTTCGACTAGTCGCTGTCACAGTAAACGTCAAAAAAAAATACACGCACATAGAAATAACATGTTTTCATAAGTGTGTATATGTAAGCTGGTTTTTATGTTCGGGTTGAGTGTGCTTTGGAGTTGTCATACATGTCGGTGAATTCAGCATGTTTTGATGTGTGCGTGCAAGCATTTGACGTTCGTTCTGACGAAGAAGAAACGTACACGGAATTGTGGATACAACAACAATTACTATGAATTCGCCGTAACGACTTCTTAATGTGAGACCGAAGCATTAACGTTGGTTATATTATAGACGTTCTACGTAAACAAGTCGCATTTGTACGATGTTGTTGTGCGGCGTAAAAAAACGTCTATTGGGTTTTCAATCGCTTACTTTATTATTTGAATTTGAGACATTATTTTACTTTTATTTTAAAGAAAATTGTAGGTGTTTCTAGGAAATTTGACGGTATAGAAAAATTGTATGTAAATCGATTGCCAAATTTCATTTGGTTTCACTGCTAATAGTTGAATAATAAAAACACACATACAAAAATGATAAGAATTCCCAAATATGATACGAACAAAATGAAAGCATGACGTGTTTTTGAGATGGCTCGGAGTATTGTGTAGAAATTGTGAAGCGTTTATGAAACTGCATTGAATTGGGTAATTCTTGACTGAAAAAAAGTCATGTTTTTTCCAATTCTATCATTGTTGAATGAACTGTTTTATTTCTGTTAAAAGAACGATTGAAGATATTGCTTGATAAATGAAATCGAATCGCTGATCTCTTTTCAAGGGGAAAAATGTTTATTATTTGCACTGAAATAAAAAAACCAAATAATTACAGTCCGATCAGCAATTTTCGCCACCTAATGTAAAAAATTGCGTCTTTGGTATTTTCGGGCGTTGTTCAAACGGCGCTTGTGATCGAAGCATTGACATTATAATTTCTCATTTATTCAACGCAAATCACCTTTAAATTAGTAGTCCCTTTCATAATATATAAAACATTAATCACACTGTGAGAACCAGATGGAGTAAACTTTGCAATCCACTTTCAGTCTTTTTGTGATCTAGTTAGCCATTGGCTCGAATTATTATCGTTGCCTATTCTTTTCTTCTTAAAAAAACAAAACTGCTGTAGCGATTAGAATCAAAGATATTATATGCCATTAGTAAGAAAAAAATTAGATAATATAATTCATTGCGTCAATTAGTTTGTTTGAGTTTGATTGGGATGTGGAAAATGCTTTGAACGTCCATAATATAATTTCTGTGTAAATTCTTCTGATCTTTTGATGTGAGAATTTCGGCAATCGTCATAATTTGTTTATTATTGTCCGAATGGACCCAATACAAAACGAACAAAAGTACAAAACGAAAACCGAAAATGATCATTGGCGCAACTAACAGGAAGTACAATTTAAAAGTTTTTCTTTACTCTTTCGTTTTGACCATTACACCCATTACAGGGAATTTCTTTTCTTTCCTCAAATTTTGTGTTCGCGTTAAAGTATAATTTTGTTGTTCAAACAAATGAAGTGTAAGCATATTTAGAAGAATTTAAATACACATACGAAAATTATTCCATACATTAATTTTGTTGGCGGCAAGGAAAACATACAAATACGTTCAGCGGAACAATCAATTCACATTCTATTTTCTCTGTTTGAATATTTCTTTGTTTCAATGGTGGAAAAATAATAGTGACAATGTGATTTTGGTTCGAATAAATTGAGCCGTTTGAAGATTCATTGTCACTCTTTTTTTTCTTTTTCAAAACGATTTTATTACACGATTTGAATCTCATTTCCGGCTGATGTAATAACTCATTTATTGAACGAATTGGTGTGTTAAATGGTCAGAGAAGAGATGAATTTCATTATTTCACCAAAAGTAGTAAGAAAGTTTGCAATTCTTGACACATTTGAATCTTCGATTTTATGCGCAAATCTGAAAAGATAGTTAGTTCAAACAAATGGAGTAAATTCATTTAATTTCTCAATGAAATCGAAAAATATTAAGCTGGACCGGCAAGTCTTTTTGACATAGATCTTCGGTTACTTACTTATTTGATAATAATTAAATACAATAGGAATATTTGTGTTACAACCAGGCGATGTTTTTTCACACTGAATGTTTACTTTTTCTAGGAATTTTTTCGCCAACAAATCATAATAAAAAATGCTTCGACGAGAAGTCGGAAAAACAGGCACTCGCTTAATTTATGAATGTTGAGAAATCATGCATTGAAAGGAGATTCTCATTTGAGTTTTGTATTATTCTCTTTGTTAAGTTAATTAATTAACAAGTGTTGATTTGTTTGAAAACACGTGATTGTGAGTGCATAATCGATTAAGTAGTTTTGCATTGAGTTTGTGTGCCATAGAGACGTCTAGAAAGCTTCAGAAAACATTGTGTTGTCAAATTCTAGATCCGAGTGTTTACTTCTATTTTTATCAATATTTTATTGAACACAATTGAAAATCAAATTGACATATTTGCTCAAAAACAGTTTTTCCTTCTTATTGGTACATTTAAAATAATCTACGACACATAAATTATGAAGTATGATACAGTCAACAGACAAAGATGCATCGTTTAAAATATATATGTAAATAAATATGTTGTGCTAGTGAGTATAATACACATGACTTAATAATATGATTTTGTTTATTGGCATAGAGTGTTCTGATTTATTGCGTTTAAGTTTGGATTTTCGCTAAATTAGTTGTAATAAATTTTGAAAATAAATAAATAAATAAAATGAGATCACTGACAGTTTTTGTGATTGTAGTAGTATTTGTGCTCTTCGATGAAGATGAAGACACTGGTGCACATTATTACTACGTATTGGAGAGAGAGAGATCAATGTAATCATTGTTTCTATTAATAAAAAGGAGTTTGCGTTTACTTTATATTTGCGTTTATTCAAAGTTTTAAATGAGTTAGATTTTACAATCGTACAAACAACTTTTACAAAATTATTCGCGACGGAGAATAACTATGTTGAAAGTGCGTCCTTTCTTAAAACATTTTATTTTGAAATTTTTTTTTTGAAAATTCACTATGAAATTCGTAGTGATTGGCAAATTTGTACTATCAATTGTACACTTGTCAATTCAAGGCATCATTCTTTCTATCAAGTTAGTAGCATTAAAGTAATTTTTGAAATAAATTGAAAATATTCATTTCGTTACAATAAGATCTCAAAGGAAAGTTCAATGCAACAACAATTGAAAAACAATTTGTTGAGGCAACAACCGAGCAACAAAGACAAGTTAGTATTTTGTATAACTACATTTAACACAAAATGCCATTGATATTTCCATTCTTTTATTCTGTAAAAAAACAATTCAACTTTTTAAAAATATGCCTCAGAGATGTCAAAAATGGTAAATTTAATTCGTTGTTGGTTAATTTTATATTAAATCTACCAAAATTGAATAAAAAATACCACATTTTTTCTTTCTGTGTAAGACAACTGAATTATTTCAATTTTTTATAATGGATTCAAGCGAAATTGCACGAATTTCTCGGTGAAAGATCCATCGAATCCATTTTCTGAATATGTTCTGTGCAAAAAGGCAATGCTACAAGACAGCGCAGAACTTCCGATCCTCTCCATTCTGAATGATTTTGAATATTTAGGATCAAGGGTAGAAGAGCATGAACTTGATCCGAGACTTACAGATGAGGAAGGATATAATGACATGACTGATGGGCCTGATCCAAATAAAATCTTTTTCGTCGACGATCATCTAGAACATTACGTAACTTATTGGGATAGAGTTAAATACTCACTAGGAATAAATTGGTTATTGGGATGGTTTGGAAAATGAAAATAAGTTTTCAGTGAATTTTCTTCAATTTTATCAGATTTTTCTTGACGATTGATTGAATTCATAAATGGGGATAAAAATGCAAAAAAAATTAAAAAATTCCGTTTCAAAATAAATAAAAAATGTTGTTCTTTTAATGCTAGTTCACAACAAATTCATAACTTATTTACGCAAATACTATTATTTCAGTCCAGTCAACTTCTTTGAGAATATTAGCACGTTTTAAAACATGAAACTCATTGTGCAGAAATTCAATCTTGTGTAATTCAAAAATGGATTTCTTTTGATCTCTGACGAAACATGTTCCGGTGTTCAAGTTTACATAAAATAGAATTCAAATCATCCATTCAATTTACGTGTGAATAGTACCATATGTATATGGGTCTTCTTTTGATTAGCGGCTGTTTGGAATTTGATGTTCAACTTACATTTGATATACGAAAACAAACAGTGCCACACTTGTTAATTTGCTTCATTTAAAGAGATCAACATACGGAATCAACATAGAAAATGTTCTCTCTCTTCGACTGACCATGGATCCAATTAACGGTTTCAATTTGAATTGATTGCGAGATGGTTTTGGTTCTTCTTTTGTTCGTAATTTGATCGAAACGGTTTGGTATGTATTCTTCTTTTCATTGCGATTGAAAAAACAAACACGAAAAAAAGAACAGTTCATATGAGCACAAGACTCATGATGTTCATTTCGTTTTACATGCATTGTGGTTGTTGTTGTTATTGGCGGCTTAAAAGCACAAAATTGTATTTCAGTCGATGTCTTCATTCATTTCGTAGTATGATTAAACATTGTCCACATTTGTGGTATGTAATTCGATCACCTTTAAATAACTCAATATTTGTTTTGGGAAAAAAGCAAAATGCAACAGTGACAGTCGACTATATGCCGCACAACTACGATACATACACACATGATGTATTCACATCATACGCTTGATTAATTTCGAAGTTGCTGGCTTGTGTTTTTTCTTCTTTGAATTAATTTTTAGCGTTTATATATCGATTGTTAACTTGTTATTACTGCCCCATTGAAATACTATATTCGCTTCGTTTTTGGATATAAATTTTCTTCATTCACATTTTAACTGGCGAATGAGAAACTCTTTGCAAATCGATCAAAGAATTTAAAAAATGTGACAATCAGATGCGTTTCTGTGCCTTTGGGGTACGTCGTGCATGAATTCACTCTTGAGAAACAATTTAATACATGCTTCATAATTTAAGGTTTAAATTACTCACGATGGCCCATGAAACACACAATGACATTATATATCGAATGATGCTGGACGAATGGCCACGAATCCAGTTTGCATGCAACGTGAGAGAGATGGAGAAAAAAATGCAGCGATTTGATATCGTGTAATTCAAACCATTAGTGAAATGAGTTCATAACACTTGTTGTGCAAAAGTTTTGTCATTTTTTTGCTATATATTTTTTTCTGCACTCTTTTTTTCTTGAAGCCCGTTTCGTTCTCATATTGATTTTTAATGCCTTTTGAAACGGCATTTTCATTCAGATTCGGTGCCAAAAATCTGGTTTGCACGAATCGGTGGAAAAAAATTGAGCCGTTGACAAAAATGCTGTAATCGATGTGATATGGAGTGCATCACTGATACATGTATTAATTTCGGGATTTTTGTGATCAGTTTTTTGTTGGTTCGGTTGTCAATTTTGATCAGTAGTATCGCAGGTATCATAATGTATTTAGATGAGCAAAGTTGTGAAAATTCATTGTTCGAACATCTTTTCGAATGGAATTTGTCACGAAAAATAAAGAGACAGGACCACCTGTGAAGTCACTCGAATTTTGCCGCCTTTTTGTTCCATTGATATCGTATTTTGAACGAGTTTTGAATTCGTTAAATTCATGAGTATGGAATCTTCGCATAATTCTTGACGAAAAAATCGCATTTCATCGGAATTCTTCATTTTTTCTGTTCATTTTTATGAAATGATTAAATCAATTACGAATCCAGATTGAGTTCGGTCGTCATTTAAACTCATAATTGTTGTCAAAATGAACATTTTAATCGAAAAAGTTTCGATCGGATCAAAAGAGGATAAATATACGTTAAATCTTGATATGGTAAAATGGCTTGAATGGTTGGTGTGTGGTTTTGTTCACGTAACTGAATTGCAAGCTGATATGATTTTTCCGACCTCACTTTACTAACAAGCCTCTAAAGTGAAATGCCGCCTTCTGGCAATGGGCAAATTAGTAAAATAAATAAAGATTTTTCAGTTCATAAATTTTGTGAAAATGAGCAAAACTCTGTTGTACACGTATATATACGCTTCAAGTGTCTCCCTCCTCAGAGTGTGCTGTGAAATGGCCATAATCGTAGAAAATTTAAATGAAACCACAATAAACGAAATGTGTTTTCATCACTTTTTTGGCTTCGAGTGATTTTTATTGGATTTTTACACGCGAGACAACCATCATGTTGTATGTATCCCGGAAGCCGCAAATTCGACTCTACATTTTCAACCACAACCATTTTTTTACCATATATATATATTTTTCGGAGGGAAAATTTACTGCACCATCGATTTTCTAATTGAAACGATGATTGATTCGAATTTCGAAAGCCACGAAAATAAAAACTCTCAACATCGAAAGATAATTGTCACGGTTCTGTGTTAAAGAAGTAATGAATTGAAATCGGATTGAATTTCACCTGTGGTTTGGTGCATTGTTTTTAATTTGACACCGCAGGACACAGTCGTGTATCTTCCACATGCACAACGAGCAACTTCCATTTCGCCCAAAATCCCATTGAAGGCGGACAAGAGAAAGAAAGGCAAACATACAAATGAATAATGCGCTTCTGTTCATTGTTTAAATTGGCCCCGCGCTCCAAGTACCGAATTTAATACTGATTAACACTGATTTAATCGAAGAGAAAAGGCATGTAGTGAAGTGATATTGTGTTTGAAAATTCTTTCTTTTCAGCGCAATGAATGAATGAAATTGAATTGAATAAATTACCATAATGATGATAATTGTCGATACATTTCTCTTAAATGAGATTTCGATCAAAGAGAAAAATCCTAGAGCGTTAAGTAGCCAACACCTTTTACTTGCTCTGTATTTTTTTGTGTGTGTGTGTATTCAAGTCAGCCACTTTGGTTGAAAGAGTTTCATCAATTTATCATAATTCATAAGTGTTGAACCGCATTTGATCTCATCGTACTCAGATCCGACAGCAAAGATTTTTATCATCATCATTACCATACCGAACGCATCAAGTAGGAAGCATTCGAAAACAGCTTATGCGATGACATGAAAAGAACATCATCCAATGGAAATCTCCGCTCAAAGTAAGAGTTCGTCTTTCTATCATCACTTCATTCAAAATGGTTTTTAAAGAGCCATAAATACATATGGAAATCTTATATTTCGTTGTGCGCACTCTTAACAATGACACATGTAGAGTACGAGTAATCCGTTTATTGTATTTTCCAATTCTGCTCTCTTTTATCGGGGAAATAGAATGAGAGGTGTTGTTCGTGCGCCCTACGCATCATAAGTATTGCCATTGTTGCTGCTCGGTTGCTCGCTGTTTTTGTATGCACACGCTGAATGGAGGAAAAAAAGCCCACTTCATGTATTCTAATGATGTTGCCGAGACTTGAGTTCGGAAAATGTGGCAATAAAACCATTTTGAAAAAGCAATAAGTTAGCCACTTGACTGAATGAAAAGCATTTTATGAGTTAAACCTTTTGTCCAGTCAAAGGCCAACGTGTACCGGACCCAGAAAATCCGTGGGATTAAATACTTGCCAGACATTCGAATGGACAAGAATGATCTTGTTCTTTGGAAAGTAATTTAATGGAAAATCCCCACATAATGGCAACCAATCATATTGCAAACAAAAACCCGACCTCACATCTCAAAGCACGTACAAAATATTTAAAATACTCTCGACGGAAAGTAATCTACATTAAATAACAAACGTCATTTTAAATAATTGCCTACCAACAAACATGTGCACCTATCATGATAGGTCAATTTGAAACATTCACAAATCTATGTCACTGATATGGTTTAATGACTCAGTGATTGTTGACTTTTTATCATTTTACAGGCTCAAGAGCATATTGTCATCGTTTTAATAATAGATGACAAGTGATTATATCGCATAGAAAATGAAATGCTTTTTAAAATCCTTATCGATTGGACATTTTTTTTATTACTCTGTAGATTTTTTTGAATAGTCGATTTAAATACTCATTGTCAAGATATGTTTGATGCAAAGTTTTCAAAATTATCCATTTCTTGAGGAATGTCTCTCATCGATCGATACTAGGGCGGTTACAGTCAAATACAGTGTCGCTGAACTAAACGTCGGATCGACAAAATAAAAATAAATTGAAAACAGCACTGAGAACGGTTTGAATCAAAGAGGTGCCTTTCTTCAATCCACGACAAAAAATTTATTTGACATAGGCTTGTAATAACGATTTCATTGTTTGTTTTTAATTTAAAAAATCATTTACAATGTGAATGTTGATGTTTTATTATTGAAATGAAAGCTAAATTTACTACGGTAGTAGTATTTCATACAATTCAGCAATTCTAAGGGGAACAACGACCAAAATTGACACAATTTATTTTTAACTTTTTCCGTTCTTCAAGTCAATAATATAAAAAATTACACTTGGCTTCTGTTTTTGTTATTGTATTCATTGTCATATAAACATAATATAAACTTGACTCGCTTTTGAACAATTTCAATTCAACAATTTTTTTTATCGATAATAAATTTGAAATTTTTTGTAACGAATATGTGTTGATTGTGACGAGCGCCACATTGGAATGGTTAGTTTGTATTGAAGTGTTGGTTTCAATGGAAGAGTCATAATTCATCAGTGTTATTGCATTTACATACAATTCCGTGTAGTTTCAGTTCGCTTATGGTGCATATTTGTATTCACTCACTTTTCGACGATTAAAGAGAAAACATTTTCGTTGTTCAGTTAAATTAAGTTTTATGTGCAAAATTTGTGCAATAAATTGTGTCATCGTTTTGGCCATATAAAGTGATTATAATTTTTCAGTTCGTTCTATAGTGTCCAATTTTGTAACTCTATGCTTGTTTTTTATAGCAATTCTTTAAAAAAAACCACTGTGACTATCATTAATTGATAACTAAGAAGTATCAATACAGCCGTTTAAATACTACAATCGGCATTTCAGTGATACAAAAAGTGTTATACCAACATGAAATCAACCTTTGTACTAGTTGTTATTGTGTCAATCTCCGTTGGCCTAATTCGCAATGTTGCAGCTGAAGATTCCGATTCGGTGGCAGGTCCCATCCAAATTATAAGGCCCGTTAATCATACGCTGCAACTACAGTTGGAAGATTTAAAACCAATTCTCGAAGCAGATGACATAAAAGATCGACACGTTGTGGTCGTTTCAATTGCTGGTGCATATCGCAAGGGAAAAAGTTTTTTGCTCAACTTTTTCATACGATATCTTGATGCGCAGGTAACAAATTGAATTTTTTTCCTGGTGTCCATCACTTTGATATCCATCTTTTAATTTAACAGTATAAAAAGCACGATGTCACCGATTGGATGGGTGAAAATATGAATAATAGTGTAGTAAGTGGTTTCAAATGGCGCGGTGGTAAAAAGATCGAAACAACTGGAATTTGGATGTGGTCGGATGTGTATACGCACGATTTTGATAACGGCGATAAAGTGGCCATCATAGTTCTAGACACTCAGGGTATATTTGATGGTCGGAGTAATGTGCAAGATTATACCCAAACGTTTGCATTGAGTATGATGCTATCGTCGGTTCAATGTTACAATATAAAGGAACAAATTCAAGGTGATAGTTTGCAATATTTGGATTTATTCACTGAATACGCTCGATTGGCACTGGAGCAACTGGAGGAAAAACCATTTCAATCGTTGCTTTTCATCATTCGCGATTGGCCATTTCCGTATGAAAATTCATACGGCTGGCAAGATGAAAAACTTATTAACGATTTAATGAATGGAGACGAAGAGCAAACCACCGAAACGAAAGAATTAGTGAAGAGGATTCGGTCGAGTTTTAATAAAATTGACGCATTTTTAATGCCACATCCAGGAATGGCGGTCTCAAGACAGCAAAATTTTACAGGCGACTTAAAACAAATTGACCCGAGTTTTAAGAAGTACGTCAAAGAGTTGGTGTCCACTTTGTTCGATCCCAAAAATCTCGTTGTTAAAGAAATTGATGGCCGCAAAGTTAGAGCACGCGATCTATTGAAATATGTGCAAACTTATTCCAATATTTTTAATGGAGGAACATTGCCATCGCCGAAAACTGTCATTGATGTATGTATAAACAAATCAGTTGGAGTTTTCAGGAAATGTAAATCATTTTTCATTTAAAATAGGCTATAGCTGAAACGAGTATTTTGATTCTGTACAACGATTCTCTAAGTCTTTACACCGAATCAATGCGAGACAGTTTCGATAAAGTCCATCCATATTTCAAAGAATCAGAGCTGCTTGACATCCACACAAAGGCCAAAAATGAATCATTTGAAATGGTAATGGACTCATCTTTATTTTTAGATTATTTCATTTGAATATAAAATTTCAAACTTTTATTCCTCAAATTTTGAGTAGTTCCAGAATAAACGGAAGTTGGGCACTGATGAACTGAAATCGACCTACCTACAAAAACTTGACAATGCCATTGAAATTAAATTCCAAGCGTACCAAAAAGAAAATAATAATACACGAAATATATTTGTGGTAAGCATTTTTTACAATCGATATCAATTCATTGATTTCAATTGAAAATTTAATTAAAATTATGTAAAATCACCGTAGGAAAAGGCCAATTTATATAATGGAAAAATTATCGCCGAAATTCGAATGGTATTTGAAAGAAAAATACTGGAAAAAACTTCCAATGAGGATCTAGAAATGACTGCCAAAGAGTTAAACGCACTATTTTCAAAAGCCAAACAATGTGCACTTGCTGAGGTGAGCTGTCAACTTTAATTTGACTTCTTTCTCTATAGAGTTCGACTCCATATAATTGAAACAAATAAAAAGTATTTATTTGATTTATTGCAATCTCTTACAGTTTGATGCGAAAAAAATGGGCGATAGCGAAGTTACAGCGGAAATTCGCAGAAATTTCAAACAGGATCTAGAGGCTTATCAATCGAAAGTGGCTGAGAAATGGACGGTTTCGTTTAAAAAATATGGGAAATTGACAATTACTTTTGTGGAAGCGACAGCAGCGTCCCATGCTGACGGCAGTCGGTGCGATATGGCCTCTCCATGCGATTCATATATAAAGCTTTTTATCGACAACAAAATGGTGTATCAAACAAAAACCATTTGGGATAAGAAACATCTGGTTTTCAATGAAACATATACAACACCGGACAATATAAATAAAAAGGCACCGATTACCATTCAATTGTGGGACTTTGATAATTTATCCAGTCATGATCCGATTTTAACTTGGGACACCAGCGTAAAAGAACTACTTAAAACAAAAATTAAACACGGACATGGAGAAAACAAAATCAAAATACGAGCATCGTGGAAAGAAAAGAAGTAATAAGCAATTTTTTTATTTAAAAGCAATGTTTACTCATATAGGCCAGTTGTTTGTTAATCAATATTTCATTTCAGAATAACCTTGCCAAAAAATGTAATAACTTTAAATAAATGTATGTTCAAGCACAAGATATATTTTTTCGCCCAGTTTTGTGGTTAATTCGTACACATTTTTAGCGGTTTATAGAGTTGGTCCTCCAGAAGTATTATAAGACTTTACAGAACAACTATTTTTGTAATAAGTAAAAAAATTGAAAGAAATGTGAGGATTTTTTTGGATATTGTTGACTTTTGGATGTTTGTGGTTAACTTTTCGATTTTGTATGAAAATACAGTATAATACTGTCAGTATTTCGTGACCATTGTTCAAAATTGCCCAACTTGACGTCCGTACGCCCAAAAAGCCTTACGCTATTCTCTATTGATGGTTTTTCTATTGTTTGCACTGCTACTCACTGCTACTTCTCTTGAGTGTTTCGTTTATTTGATTTTTTCCTCATCATTTATTTTCCAATGTCATTGAAATTTCATCTATTAGGCCTATTTCTTCAGCATATTGTCATGTCAAAAGTAAGAAGACACCGACTCGAAACGTACGATTTGCGCGAAATGCTCTATTATTTATTTGAAAGAAATGAACGTACGCATTTGAGATCGTTAATCAAGCATAATTGTTAAGAAATGTTATTGTTGTTCGAACGTAAATGTGAGGTTTGTTTGGTTCACCGCATGTTCGTAACTACTGTAGAATCACCGTTTTTATTATATATTTATCTTGGTTATTTGGCATTTGTGCGTGTTCTCTCGCTTCTATTGATATGCCAAGGTAATCGACCACAAAATGCCCGCGATCTCAATGTATATTTATTGATGCTTTTTGTCAAATCAAATCTGCTTTTTCGCTGATCAACATGCGTGAGCATGTTTGAAGTTAGATTTAATGTAAATTAACTCGATATTCTATTTATTACTAAATTTTTCTTTATAGTCATGAATTAAGGTTAATTTTGAGTCAATGAACACCTTCTGGGTGTGTTTGATCTGCTTCTCATTTTATTTATTTCATTTCGATATTCACGGCAATTTTTTTTTATATATGTACCGTTGCCATTTACGAATGTAATGAATGCCGCTCGTGTGGCTTGTTTCCATGGGCGGACGTTTCGATTTATGCTTTATTTATTTCAACTGATCGGTTTTTGATCGCCTTTCAGCGCAAAACGACCCAGCATTACCATTTCAAATGACCACTCAAGAACTGAGAGCCCCAATGAAACGTTTCCTTCTCTCTCTCTTGCTCTCGTCTTTCACATTTATTGCGCGTTTGTTAATTTGAAATCGACATTTTTATTTCTGCCATTTTAACTCGTTTGAAATGTTCTCATTTTTTTTTTTTTCGTTTCGTTGCTTGACGTGCAGAAATTTTGCTCTGTTCAACATACGTAATTATATTAATTTAACATCGAACCAAACGCGAAATGAATCCGGCCAACGCAATTCGAATGACGAGCACAAAAAATACAAACTCTTTAATCGCTTGAATTGAGACAATTTAAATTCAGATAAGTTGCATTCCATTAAACAAAATTACATTCATTTCAATTTTGAAAGACGATAAAAAACAACGAGAGAAAACAAAAACTTAAAAAAAAACGCACACCAAATACCTTCAATGCCCAATTATGTGCATATATATATTCTATGCATCATTGCTATTTCAGTCTCATATGGAATAAAAACATCTTCAAAACACTTTTATTGCCTTCCTTTTCGACAATTTTGCAGACAATGACGAAAAAAATGCGAAATTATCGCAAATCATTGTGGTGAATGAACGAAATGAATTGACTGCGAAATGAACTGACTAAAGCAAAAGGGGCTTTTTTGTAACAGCGACAACTCATCTTTCGTGCTGGAAGATATTCAACTGTTTGGCTTAGTTTTTTCTTCATCATTTGTAATAAAAATGCCATTTAATTCTTAGAAAGGCGAATATTTTTATTGCGATTTTTTTTCAAAGTAGGTATTTGGAAAACGAAGATCAAAACTTGTAATTAATATTTTAATCGTCAAAAAGCCGTAAATTATGAAATTAATTGAATTAAAGCGATTAACATACTACGAATAGAGGTAATAATATGCATAAATTGATAAAGGCCATAAAGTAATAACTATTTTTCCGTAGAGTGACAAGTGTCATTCATCAATAAAAAATTGATGTAAAAACATCTGACATAGACTCATTCAGCGATCTATATATACCCAATATGTTCTTATTGCTCTTTTAAGTCTCTAATTAGTTACCTCCAATTCTGTCTGTGCAGAGAGAAGAAACCAAAATTGTCGATTTAGTGCATTAAATGTGAGTGTCTTTTTATGTCCTTTTGTCCATATTTGATTCATTTAATCAAACAGCCGGTGATTTAAAGTTGTGTGTTTCAGAAAATAAATGAAGCGACTCATTCGTTCATTCATTTATGGTTCAATATTTAGCTGCACTTTTGTTCGATTAAATCATCTCTTTTTCGTTTGTGTGCTTGGCATCGTCTCTCTGCATCTGCTGTCCATTCAAATGGATTGAACAAACGACGGCGACGAAACAAAAAACTATATAATATATTTGTGTGTGTTGGTTGAGCATTTATTTTCCTTTTTAACGCGTAATTGCTGCAGGCAGATTGTAATTTTACATTTCTGCAATTTTTATTATTCTTCGATAATAAATAAAATCGTTTGTTATGGACAGAAATTCGTTTTATAATTTCTCGAATGAAATCAAAGGGCTTTTAGAATCGAAAGCATTAAACTTTCATCAATGATGATGCACACACACCGTTCAACACACACTATATAAATGCGAATCTTCGTTTTGTTTGGCAAAACCGAGAGAAGAAAAGATTCCGGCAAAATAATAAATTGCCGGTTGTCCGTGCGCTTCATCGTCTTATCATCCGTCCACTAAACATTCATTAAAAGTCGGCGGAAAAAAAATGGCCGAACATTTTGCATCCGTCACAAATATTAATCAATGAATTCATCATTTTTACGTTGACATTGAATGCGGCCGTTTGAACTTGTGTCTTTGCAATTTTCAGTCGCTTATATTTCATTCAAAAGAATTCTGATGTTGCGAGAAATAAAAATCGAAAGCGATCACAAATGAATGGAAGAATAATGCGATTTCATTGTTTTCAAATGTTTCTGATTTTAAATTTTATTTTTATTTCTTTATCCTTTATTTGCCATCAGTCATTCGAACGTCAACATTAACGTCTTTTGATTGTGTGCCATTGTTACACTTTTTTTTGATGTTTACTTCATCTTAAAAGTAACATCTTTATCGTGAATTTATTCTGTTTGGGCAGAATGAATTGACTTTATAATCCAATTTTGATTCTTTTGTGCAAAAGTTAAAGGCATTTTTGCCGGCTTAATTCTCAGCTACTATTTTGTTAAGTGCCGCATTTCCAAGACTTAATTGCAATAAATGTAGAATGAAGTTGCATTTTCATTGCGAATAAGGGGAGATGGTTTTTTTTCTCTCGCTCGATTCTTTCATCATTAATCGTTTCAATTCATATTGGCCGTGAGAAATTTATTAGCTCGCAAAAAGCATCGATTTAAATGTACATTATAAATTCTTTTTATAGTGTTTATTATTTGATGGGAATTAAAGGCCATTTATGATTTCCTGCTGAAATCGGTTTTGAATCCTTTTACAGTTTGATTAACAGCAATTTCAGCGTATATATTTGTGTGTGGGGTTGTTGTTTGCCAGTGCACTTGTTTAGATTTATTATTATTCATCAGAAATATCCACAATGTCAACACGTGTCACCGCAATTAATATCCTATTTTCTAAAAGCGGGCATTGCTCTTTAAAAGCCAAAAAAAGGTTGCGCGTGATCGAAATCGAATTGGTCTTCAAATGCAATTCGATTCCAAAACATATAACGTCGCCCAAACACATCGCACCAAATCACCGTATCAAACATCATTTTTCCGTAATGCGTGTATTAAATTCGACGTACGCAGTAGATTAGTTACGGTATTTGTTGCAGATTATTATTCATTTATTTATTTCATATACTATGTCAACAGTTTGAGCCGATGACAAGTCGAACGATGAGTGCTCTGCCACAAAAAAAAACATCAGCAAAAATACCATACCTTGGGTGTTTGTGTGGCGTATGTTTCATGTCAATCGTTTTGATTTATTGGTTTCGAGCGTGTTATGTGCCGAAATTTGTTAATGCGGAAAAGAGACACGAAATATGAAACAAAATTCCAGAAAAATGCGCAACGGAAGAGAGACGAAAAAAATCATAAAAATCTCTCGGGTGATGCGAAAAATTAAAACGAAAATTGACTGTTTTTTTCTTGTTCTATCGTCCTTTTTATTGGATGACATATACTTTGTCAAGTGGTTTCTTGACGGTTTAGTCGGTGTTATTCATTCATAATTCGAGTTTGGTTTCATGAAGAAATGTCAAGAGAAAGAGAGGGAGAGAGAGTGAAAGAAAAAAATTGTGCGGTTTACTGCTTGAGTTAACATCAATGTATTTATGTTCATAATCTCAAGAGCAAACATTTATTTTATATTTGTTCATTGTGCGCGCACAAATTCATGCTATTTTGATTCGACTACTTTGATCGATTAGATATGTTTTATTCGGTGACACCACATCAACCGATTTACAGACTAAAAGAGCAGCACGAAAAAATCCCATATACTGAAGAATTGAGCTGTGTTTTATGTCTCCCAAATAAATATTTCATGTTATGCTATTATGACGCTTAATAAAGATGAGGATGAAAACAAAAAAAAAGTGGCGGTAAAAAAGGCGAGGAGAAAAATTGCGTTAAAAAAAACGATTATAAATGGTAAGCTCAGCGAAAAATTGCTCTTTTCACAGAAAGTCAAGGGAGACGACGATGGCCTTTTAAATAAATATTATTTGTTCGCTCGTTGAAAATGTAGCAATTTTCCGAACACGTGATAACGTCATTCAGAATTATCGCGCTTCAATTACACATACACAATTTTTCTCTCTCTCTTCGTTCTTTCAAGTGTAAAAATTTAATGCTTTGCCGACCTAACAAGCAAAATTCTTACAGACAGAAAAAAAAATCGAATTAAAGAATTGACAAACTCATTTTCTTGTTCGAAATTTTTTTTGTGAAAATCTCTTTTAATGGAAAAAATATATGAAATAAACGTCATGTCAATGCGCATTCATCGAGAAGTCGGTCGATCAATCGATACACAGTTATTGCTATCGATTGAATCGCGACTCTTCCAAGTAAATTACTTATTGAATTTTAATGTTGCATGCAAAATGTTCACATTACTAGTTTTCTATACTCGGTTACATTTTTTCATTCGTCTCTGTATTACTAGAGCAATATCGAAGAGCCCAAGAAAAATCCAATACAAAAAGAGTAACAAAAAAAATGTAGCAACATCTCAAAACGGTACATAATGGAAGAGAACAAGCGAAGGAAGTAAGAAGGGAAAAACGGATGGCTCGATACGCATATTTATCCAAATGCATAGAATTTTTCCACATAAAACAACCATTTCCTTTTCCATTAAATGAAATATCAACCCAAGTCTCTGAATAGATGAAAATACTGTAAAAATAGCATTTTATATTTGTATATATAGATGGAAGATGTGGCGTAACTTCTTCCTCTCGTTTGCCATCGCTCACAAGCATTAACTCGCCACTTGCGCTCCAAGAATATCATCGAAAAAAAAAGAGTCCAATACAATGTCTACACTCTCACCGTGTGCTATAGGGTAATATTCTGATGGATTTCTTTGCTCTTACTCTCCTCTCTCCCCTCGATATTCTTCTTGTTTCGCTGTTCGATGATGAAAATTTAATAAAACGATACTAAAGAAAAGAACAAACGAAACGACAAACGATGAAGTTACAACAAGGAGAGAAAAAAAGAACAAACGCAACTAAAACTAGCTAACCATCCACTTATCTGGTATTCGAAGGCAATTCAACATTATGTTCGAAATCAACGATACAACATTGCAGCGCGCACCAAACGCTTCGATCAATTTCGCGTTTGGTTCGTGCGTTAAAATTTAGTATGCAGTGCGCGTTTCAATCGACTCTATCTCTTTTCTTTCGTTTATCGCATTATGTATATATGTGCGTTTGCGTTTATTACATAGAAATAACGAAATGGAGGGAAAAAAGAAATCCATGCAGCAAACACCCATTCTACGCCAAACAAACAACTCATTGAAGAATATAAATGCCAAGTAAATAGATATATTAATAAATATACGATGCCCTGGAGGCGGAGCCCATATTCCACTTGTATATTTGCTTTGCCGCAATGTTCTCGATTCGATACAACAACAATGTTACGCATATATACATAGGTATTGCATATGCGTATGTTGGTGATACACACACTGGTCCCGCAAAGCAAACGAATCAAGGGGAATGAGGCAGAATTATTGTTAGCCGTGTTCGTGCTAGGCAATTCACCACTACTTTGCTGCACATATATCCAACGCACACATTGAAAGCAATCATTTCATTTAGTTCGTTGTTCGTAGCATTCGTTCGGCTCTCGTGCTCGTTCTTTAGTCAGTATAAGTTCAGAATTGGTTGGGTGATGTTATAGCGCATTTATTCTTCGGACGAATAAAAAAAAAATAAAACATTTATTTCTCACGATTTAAGTCTTTATTACAACCATTAACATTTTGTGCGTGCACACACTTGATCTCATCAATCACAATACACAAAAAAGAAGAAAAGAAATCGTTCTTCGGTTTTTTTTTTGTTCGTTTCGTTCATAAACATTTATTGAAGTGCAAATATATAAAGTTATAAACATTGAAAATGACAGTGTATGGAAAATCGAATGAAAATAGCAATATGAATGCAGCACAAAGTCGCAATTTAGTTGCTAATCGACCGAGTTTTATGATTACTGACATTTTATCGAAGGCTGCTGCCGTTGAAAAAATACCGCCGTCAACGCAAACATCACAGTATTTACAACATCTTGAACGATTTTCGGCAATGAACCATGGCTTTGGCATGATGATACCAGAAAAAATACAATCAACCCAGCGAAAAGATACATTTTGTGACAGTGACGACGATGATTTTCATGGATCCGATGATGTTGATGGACACAGCACTGATGGAAGCAATCGTGAGTTTACATTACTTTATTTCAATTTTTGAGTTTTTTTTTTTTTTCAAAAATTAAGTCTGTCATTTTTATGTGCATAAAAGTTCTTTAAATTTTTTTTTTTTTTTTTTTTTCAATAATTTCTTTCGCTAAAATTTCGGTAATTTTTATAAAAAAGTGCTTTCGACTTAAATTTCATGTTATTTGTGTGTTTTTTGGTGATTTTTTTCTAGATGGCAAAGATGATGATTTAAATGAATCAAATCGAAGTGGCTCATTGCCATCAGATCGATTAATTCATAAAAAACAGCGTAAGGCTCGTACGGCATTCACTGACCATCAATTGCACAGTATGGAGAAGTGTTTCAGTCGCCAAAAATATTTGAGCGTTCAGGATCGAATGGAATTGGCGAATAAATTGGGCATCAGCGATACACAAGTGAAAACATGGTTCCAAAATAGACGGTAAGTGATCTGAATTCAGTTATGTTTTTTTTTTGTTTCAATTTTTCTTGTCTCGAATAACATGATTTACGGAATTTATTGTATTGAGCGTGCGAGTGCGCGCGACCGTGCGCGATTGCTCACACGTATGAGAGAATATAATATATTATGAACAATGGCAATCTATGATGCGTAGTTTTGCGGTGATTCGGTTCGGTTATTATCTTTTGTTGTGCAAGTGGGAGCAAAATAAATTGTTATTCAATGGAAATTAGTTTATTTGGTTTGATTTTCCTTGTGGTTGGAAGAAAAAAAAACAACCTCCAACTAAAAGTCGCTGAAATGAGTCAGCCACTTTTGTATCGCTTATCGGTTAAAGTGGCAACAACAAATTCTGTTATTCGCATTTCGATTCAGTGCAGCACAAATTGGTATTAACTAAATGATTCATATTGACGCCTTTTCAATTACGGGCAAACCGTCGAGAGCAAAAATAACGAGCATAATGCGACAAAATGTCGAACAATATTTTACGCTTGGCAAACACGAAATGATAAAGCTATTCAACTTTATACATACACAGGCCCATGCATTCATTTATTGAATGCGTTCGCATAAATTCGTGTCTATGGTGAGTGTAATTTCTCGAAATATGGGTTCATAAATCGACGCTTTTTGTCTATGGTCGTTCATTTCGTTCTGCCACTTCGAAAGTTATTCACCACCATTACCATTTCAATAAATTAGACACACAAAGTGTGTAAAACACTCAATTCCAATGAGCAATGAGAGGGATCTTTCACTTTTTCAGCGGCAAAAACGCGACGCGACAAAATAATAAAATCATTTTGGTTTTTCGCATGAGCGGATTTCTTCAAAAAAAAAAAAAATGTTATGTGAAAGCGTTTGTCGCCCAAACGAATATTGGTATAACAGTATGAAATCGAAATTACAATTTTCACTTACAACAAAATGTGACAAACGAGAAGAAAAAAACTCAATTATAAACTCATTCGATTGACTGAGTCGTAAATCTGATAAACAATAATTTCGCTATTCGAGAAAGAGATTTGCGGGTCTTAATGCAAATAATAATTTTCTTATTTGACCACCCACGAAACGATTAAGATGAAATGTTTATGGCATCAAAATGTACACGCATACCATGCCATTTGCAAGTCGAAAAACCAAAAGAGATAACAATAAACGAAAAGGTGTGACACTCTCACACCAAATTTCCGTTATTTTATTGGATTCTCTTTGGCTTCACACATCCTTTCGCATTCTTCCTTCCCATTTTGTAATCGCATTTCGTGAGAGTGAGATTGCCCAAATAATAAAGAAACACAAACGAACAAATGACACAAAGATCAGATACAGAGAGCATCCAAAAGCGAGAGAGTCAGGCAAGCGCATCGAAGGTGCGTAGATGCGTTGAGGTGCCAAAAATCATTTAGACATAAAATAATATAATGGCATTTAATAAGGACAGTTTAACAAACAAAACAACAATAGAGATATGAAATTTATTTATGTAATCCCTCTTTCTCTGCCTCTGTCTCTCTTTCGTCTCCTGCTTCTTCTTCCTTCTCTCGTTGTTTTTTCGGCAATATAATTTCTTTTATTTTCTTTTGGTTGGATGCTGATTTTTTTTTTCGAGTGGGAGTTTCATCTTTTATGCAATTGCCATTGTTGAATGCACTTCAAACCGCAACACAGCGACGAAAACAATTCAAAGCACCTCTATTTATTTAGATAGAGATTATGAAAAACTCTTAGACAGGCTAATGTACGAATTTACAGAGGTTTTTCTTTCTCTCTCTTTCTCAAATCTCAATTTCATTCTCTTTTCATGTTATTTCGTTGTTTTTGTTTCTCGGTCGCTATTTTCGTTCTCTTTCATCTGTTTACCTGTGCAATGCACAATTTATGCGACGTGGCGCCTGGCGCTCGACTCTTACCTCAAAAAGTAATGCACATTTCTGTTATTATTATGATTATCTATTTATGTTTTGAGCCTTCCTTTTTTTTCCTGTGCGTTTTTGGTCTTTCCTCAAACCACATTTGCTTTCATCATCATCATCAACAGTGTTGTCATTTATCTGAAAATGAAAATTGCCGTGCGCAATGTTTGATATTCCCTTTGTTTCGTTCCTTTTTTTTTTTCTCTGTTTTCATATTTGGCATGAGTTCATGTTGTGTGCATTGTTTTTTCTCTCCTTAATTTTTCTGTTCGAGATCAACAAAAGCCTATTTGTTTTATAATTTGCTACGCATTGTTTAAAAGGCATTTTGTTGTTGGCAAGAAAGAATCTTTTTTTTTTTTTCAACTCTCGATGTCGACTTGCTGTCGATGTTTCAACATTCTTCGATCACTTTGAAGAGTACCAGAAATGTGTGCATGATTGATTACTCGAACTTGGCAGAAACACTTCTCTCATCGATCCTAGGTATACAAAGTCTGAAAAAACAACTGATTTCGCATTTTGATGTACACAAAATTTGGCACTGGAGACATCGAAAATTACGGAACGTTTTTCGGTTGGTTTGGGCGCCTGTGTTGCAAACCTACTCGACAGGTCAATGATAATTAACTATGATTGACGGTTTGATGCGAAAATAGTCAATTGACGCACTTATAATAGATAAACGAAACGGACATGGCAGGATAATTGCTTGATTTTGGATTATTTTTCTGCAACAATTTTTTTTTGATGAATTTCACAAAAGAAAAATGATATTTGCTCGAATTTTGGCGCCGTTCGGATGTGTGCATATTGTTCATGTTGTGCAAGTGTATTGGCGCCACTCGATCCGGATATTCGTTTCATTGATATACCTTACACATTCATATAGGCATGGACAAACAATTGCATCGTGTCCATTTCGAAATTCAGTCCGTTTCGGTTACTTATTATTGCTATAATTAGAGATAAATGAAGATTGGGAACGGAACAAAACCAGCGGCTGCAAAGTCACAACCGAGCCATTGAAAAGAGAGAGACAGAGAGGGCATATTGAAAAGGAACAATAAAATACCAGAAGTAGAGATAATAATTTTAATTTCTTTAAGACAAAGCTCTTAAACGACCGAATGGTCATAATTAAAGACTTCGAAATAGAAAAGAGAGGGAGAGAAGAGAGAAAAAATATGATTTGTATAAAAGACCAAGTTACCGCTACCTGAACGCACCGAAAACCTTTCGCTCTGTTTAAGCTCATGGTTAGCACTTTATTCATATTATTAATAAATCGTTTTGTATAAATCCGCTGCCACTATTTCAAAGTTTTATCGCTTTTTTGCTTGACCGACTTCCAATATAGTGAGTGTTTCTTTTTCATCTACTGTTTCTACCTGTTTGCAACTCCGACACTTCCATATTTCGATCGACTCCGATACCCGGATCTAAAACCATTCTTTTCTCTTCTCCGCTTCAGTTTTGCTGTTGTCATTCATCATTTCATTTCAATTTTCGAAAATCACACGCTCGATACGGCTATAAATTCGATTTTCTATCAATGAAATTGACTATAAAAACTTGAACCTAATTCCTTTTTCTTTATATTATGATTATTTATTGATCTTAATTCGATTTTGTTATATTATTTATGATTTTAGAACAAAATGGAAGCGTCAAACGGCCGTCGGTTTGGAATTGTTTGTTGAAGCGGGCAATTATGCGGCCTATCAACGTGCCTATGCATCACGATACGGTCAAATGGATGGAATGCCATCGTATCCAGGCAATCCATTGATGATGGCAGGTGCTGGTCATCCGATTATGCCGCCATCAAACCTATCGTCCGTTGAAAGTTACTATCAACAAATTCTTCAAGGTAGCATGAATGGAATGGCAGCGCCAAATATGTTTGCAGCACCACATCGACCATTGCCAATGGTACCGCAAATTCCTGGTGCCGCTTTCTTACCGTTAAGTCCACCAAACAGTTTATATTCCGCATCGCGATTACCGAGCACATCACCTTCGCAACGTCTTAGCCCGCCAGAACAACCACGACCGCATAGTTTGAGCCCAGTCAACTCAAGTCTGCCATCACATTCGCCAAAAACATCATCGCTACAACCACAATCAACACACAATGCAACAGACGATGAATCCGACATCGAAGTGTAAATTTGAGTTTTATTCTTTTAAAAGAATTTAGCTGTATTTTTTTAGAAACTCAAACTTTGGAAAAGTTATAATATAAGCTGGCTTTATATGTCGTTCGTAACGTTAAGATTTAAGCAAATTTAACCATCATAATTATTTTGTATGTATTTCGAATTTATCGTTATTTTTTTTATAGAAATTATTGTGTTTAAGTTGATTTGTGAAAACATCGATTAAAATTCAGTGGATAATTTAAACTATGGTGTTTTTTTTATTTTCTTCATTCATTCACTACAGAGAATTTGAATTGAAAAGAAAAAAGTTTAGAAGAACAAGTGAAGTCAATACAATTGAAAAAGGTAAATGTATAAAAGAAGCCAAAACAAATCGAAGGAAATTTCCTTTATTTTGAAGTAATTTTTTTGGATTTAAGAATTCTTCGAATTATACAATTGACTGGAAAAACTATTTCCTTGCATGGTATATTTTATTCGTTCATATTTTTTTTCGTGTTCTGAGCTTGAAAATTCAATTATCGTGTTATTTTATGATTTCATTTTTCCATCGATTCGATTTAATATTTGACGTTGCAATCCCTATATAAATGCGAGCATAAATCAAATGCCAAACATCAAATGGTCAAGTTAATGCGCTATCGCATGATCTGTCAAATGTCTTGGTTTTGATTTTCGACGATTTTTCTATAAAAAAAATATCAATATTGAATAAATGCTATATGGACACACGTACGATATATGGATTCAATTTAATCATCAAATTACCGTCTGTTTTTCAAACCGACTACGTTGTAAATGCTGGTGCATTTGATTGCTCGATATCCAAATAAAATATTTAGTCCAATGCCAAATGAAACGAATTATTCGAATCAAGCATTTATTTGTTGGTGCCATGTTAAACGTTACATCGTTGTGCAGTTGGTTCATTTGATCGAAGTGATTAGGTTTTATGTGTCGACTCTGCGTCATAACGAGAATCCATAAAAAAATGTACAGAACTGAACAAACAAAAGCCGCGTTCACTTCGCATGCACAACGAAATGCAATGAATAACCGAAAATGCATGGCACCAAATGAGAATAACCGAACCAATTGTTCCTTTTTTTGTATGAGCGCTGCTATGGCGGTCGTATTAAACATTTCCGTCGCATACACAAATTATGATGATCTAATATTTATTATAAATGTTTGATTTGGTCTATCACGCAATCCTATCATCTGTTATTCAACGGACTGAAAGCGAAATGGACAACAAAAAACTGAGACACAAACAAACTCAAATCAAAGCCATTGCCTTAATAGCATTTTTCTTGTGAATGAATCCAAATTACGGTTTTGTGTAGTAAAAAATTTTGAGAAGATTTTTTTTTTGTGTTAATTCGCGAAACTGACCGAAAACACTATGATATAATTTGTTTTGTTGTCTTTTCGAAAATTAGACCGAATTCTCTGAAAACCTTTTGATTTTTTGGTGTATGCTTTTTTTTATTTATTTTTGCACTAATCGAAGCGGTCCGAAATTGGAACCTTGGCGCACACACACATTCGAAAGGGAGTGAGAGATAGATACTAATTTCTGTGCCATTAACATTTTTAATTTGAATTTTCGGACCACGGACATTCAAGTTTAAATTAGCCACAAATTATCCCTCGCCAAACATGCTAACGAGAATTTCGGCAAATGGGGTTTGCTTTATGCGGCTGATGGCACTAAAATATACTTTTATTACAACGTGACCGAATGGAAGAGAACGAATAAAAAAACGAAACATTCGAAGCAAAAGGACGTGCATTCAAGAGAAGAAGAAAAAAATGACTTCAAAATACGATTCCATATGTTGGTGTAAACCTCATTGCTTACAATGCCAGTCTTAGCCCCGAAGAGAAATAAAAAACCACAGCATTTTTCAAAATGATTATTATACACAATTGGATAAGTACATTTTCGCTTTTCCATATACAATGGTCTTTCTTTTTCTAATTGCATTGAAATACCTTATTCTTCACCTATCTATCAAACCAAATTTGTGCTCAGTATCAATATTAATTTGACGTTCAAACTGAAACAAATTTCATTTCTTTCCCGTTCACACACTCACTCTCTATTCAATTCATTTCGTTCCCCCTTCAATAAAATAAATGTTTAATTTTTAATTTGACTTTTGTATTTTACCGTGTGTTGAAGCATTCCATTTGTTGATCGAATTCATTTATTGCCGTTGTGTCAATACATATAGAATACATTTTACGCACGCATATGAAGTGCTACTCATGTTTGTTGAGATGGAGAGCAACCAACAGTTGGTTTTTTTTTCCTACTTGCACTAATCATTGATGTGGAAACGACAAAATTTACAATGTGCTAGAACATTTTACGCTTAATCGCGCCACTCACTCTCTGCTCCTTTTGTTCACCAAATTAATTAAGGGAAAGAGAAAAAAATTGAATTTTCTCCGATGTATATGCATTGTATTTGATCAAGGTGTGTATCAGCAGTGTATTTGATATATTTATTGACAGTAGACTAATTTGAATTGTATGTCAATTTGTGCGTTCGATGTTCAATCAGGCGTATGAGTTAATTTGATTTTGATTTTATGACAATTTGTGATTGAATTCACAAATACAGCGGCAGCAAGAATGTTGATAAATTAAGTGGACGTCGGTGCCCACTTTCATTCGATTAAATCGCTTGATTTCGGTGTCAAAACAGTGAAATTTATTCATTTTTTTTCTTTCATTCATTCAACGATGACACTGACCGGCATACATTAAACACCTCTTAAGTCAATCGATCCTTATCAGACACTGACTACATAAACTCACTTGCCCAATATAATTCAATTTAAATTTGTTGACAGTGTTTTCTTTTTGGTGATTAATAATAAAACGAATGCTAGTGGGATGCAATGGACATGTGAGATCTGATAGCAGCACAACTAATTAAAAACACACCGAAAAATAAATTATCCTGAACTTCAATGTATGTATAAGATCTCAAGTATGTAAATTGTTTGATTAAGAAAAACCACAAAATGAAAAAAAAGAAGAAGAAGAAGAATGCAGCACAATAAACGTCTTGAGTGCACACAAAATGCTACACCCCGAGCAATAAAACAGGTGCAAGAATTGCACACATTTCATCCATGACACATGCAAAAGTCGAAAATTTCGAAAATAAGCGCACACATGTGTGCGCGCGAGAGAGTGATACTTTTATGGCATCTTAAATGTTTCATTGCTGTTTGTTTGTGCATAATTCTTTTTGAAATGTGGCCATAAAATGAAGAAACTGTAAACATACATTTGTGTTTCGATTTGGGATTAAGATCACATTTTTGTGGTGGCAAAAATTCATTGATTTTTATCGTAGCCATTTAGAGGTGCCAGAAAGCGTCTAGCATCGAATCACTGAGAAAATGGTTTCCAGGTATAAATCAAATGACCAATTCCAATTTCACACCCTTTGGTCTAGCGAACTTCAAAATGTGCTCTGTCGCTTGCCGATATAGCGAAACGGAACCACAAGTCAAGAGAAAAAAGTATCAAATCAAAGGGAAAAAAGACGCAAATCTGTTGTTTTCAAACGAAACGAAAACAGAGGAAAAAAACACAGATTATTAAAGGTGTAATCAAATAAATTATACGTATTTTCTAATGAATGCAACTGCATACACCGAATGTGTGCACTAGACAAAAATCTAATTGATCCATATCTATTTTATTACACCATGTTTTTCTTTCTCCATTCATTTGTTTCCTTCTTTCATTATTTTTTCTCACTTTTCACAAAACTGCGAAAATGCCGAAGAAAGAAATAGTTTCATATCGGTTTTGTATGTGTGACTATGGCTGACGGTTTCGGTGAAGATGTGAGAAAAATGCAACAACATACGTACAAAAATAAGTGATTTTTTTTTGTTGTTGGTTAGCCTAGTACCCTTATTTTTTGAGATGTGTCGATGCACGAAGAAAAAGAAAGCCAAAAAAAAAAAACGGAGATTGGCGTCACTGGAAGGAGTGTGATGTAAACGAATCGCTGGCGTCAAACAAAAACAAAACAACAGACAATGTCTACTGGTTTTGTCTTTTTGGTATATATTTGGCCCTTTCTTTCCACCCGACATCGGCCACATCAAGCCCATTTGGGAGTGTAATCATATTGAAAAGAATTATAGCAAATTATATCGGATTATTTTCATTTGCTTCACATTTCCTCAATGTGTCGAATATGTCGGCTTCTGAATCCCAACGCTTCCAATTCCATTCATAAAAAAAATAACACGAGAGAGCCGCACGGCACGAAACAGCAATCACAGCGAAAATTATTATTTATTTTACCAAAATTGACGGAAAAAAAATTTAGATGAAAGAGAGTAATCAAACAAACATATCTCTCATTCGTACGATTTCCTTCATGGCAAAAAACATGAACTGGATCACAAGAAGAAGAAGAAAAAACGCATTGCACATAATTAACTTATGCAATTTCATCTAACTAAATTGCAATTAACTAAAACAATGGAAACAAACATGCGACTTAACGCTGCGATAAAGCGACGATGGTGAGAAGCTGGTGTGTACGGCTTGCGCATTTAAATTGTGTATGTAACATATTTATTTGATATTTGAAAAAGTGGTACACACAACAAGCGTTTCAATCATTAGTATTTTTATTTTTTTTTTACCTTTTAGTGTGAGTAATTGAAATGTCTTCTTCATCGTCATCATCGTTTTCACGTCAAATATAATACAGCTTGAGGTTTGCGATGTGGAGGCACGCATAGAGTTCATCATTCATCCATATTCATGTTGTTTGCACAACTACCGCGTATTTAATCGTACAATTTCTCCTCTCTTTCGGTGTTCAATTTCTTTCTTGTTGCACTCTTTTTTTTTATATGTACGATCATTTTTTTTATTTGTGCTTCACGTTGCTCAATCGACTCGATTGCCGTTCATTACACAAATTAAACGAAATTCTGCAATTTTTCGTCGGCAATGAAAAGCAGAAGCGAACGAAAGAAGGCATCACAACTCATTTTAATTGCATATTATATTATCTGTGTGCAAGTGGCAACGACGCGCCATGAACCACAAAGTGAAAGATGAAAATGAAATAATTATTTTGCTATCACACAACATATGCATAAATAGATTTTACTTCTCGCGCACTTCGGAACGAGTTATTATTAATTGTTGTTATTTTAATTTCGGTGCTTGTGTAGCGAGCGAGAGA